TCGTATCGTAAGAATCAGCAATATGACGTCTAGCGCTTTTGAAGAACACATTTTGGCTAAAGATCGATTGATATATTCAGTATGAGCAAAGACAAACTACACAGAATGGCCACATCTGCGAGGCTGATTCATGCCATTCAACTGACTTTCAAATGAATGTTCCCGCGTTCACCACTGTTGGCATTCTCTTCGTGTTCAGTTTTAAACATGTATTTTCCCGGTTATCTCACGTTCAGCTTTGAGCACTGTAGGGTCATGATCAACACCACTAAACTTTCCAATCCGTTTAAGGTTAAGAGTTACTTGTTAACTGTCTATTACAGGCAATTCAGAATAGTCAACATCTTTTTCTCTAATAGCCAAACGCCTTATGTAACTGTGTTCTCTTCAAGGAGATTCAGTGATTTGGTGCTATTTTGGTTCTTTTGCACGTTCATAGTCATCTCAATTTCTTGAAGTAATTCAAATGATTAACATAGATATTGAAGTTATCCCTTAACCCGGATTGACGAAACGACTCGTCAACATATGAATACACAAACCAAGACTTCAAGCATATCCCTCATAATGAGGTAAAAGTGTTGATAATATAGTTCTCAGTACAAATGGACTGGGTCGAAATCCATTTAATTAGAGTAGGTTAATTTTATTGTTAGAAGGCCGTCATCAGTCACCAAAATATGAGCTTTCATCCAAGTCTATTTTTGAAAATTCCGTCCTAAGTTTTAATGAGAGCTTTTCGTCGTGGATGTGTTTTAGATGCAATCGTCAGGGTTTGTTTACGGATCAGATAGTCTATGTTCACTGACAGAGAACCAATCACTCATCAATTATTGGCTAGAAGTACGGGCCGTAATGATCTCTGATTTGGATAAGTCATATTTTTCTGTCGAAAATGGAGTTACGCAAGCAGATAGTTAAGTGCCTCCATCAACTGACTCTCATTTTCTCGGATTAAAAAATGGTTTCTATTCCTAGAAGATCTATGCTAATGATAGGGATAGCCAAGTCTAGCACAACTAAGATTCAGCGAATGGATTTGCTCACACTTCGGTCGTGGTAATTTTACTGTGTTTAGCGACTGATTTTTTATGTGCGTTGGTTGAACATGTTTTCTGAATGACGATCATAAAAGACTTCAAAAAGGGAACTGATTCCAGCTCCAATGTCGGCAAGATAGCAATTTGCATCATTGCGTCTGATAGTTTTGACAGGTAGGTGTGTCCACTGGCTACCTGCCGTCCTGTTGCCAAATTCTGACCCAAATCGATATTGTGGAATGATTCTCTTTGCCCTTGTTAAACAGTTAGATCTCCTCGTTTAAGAGCAGCCCTTTCAATGGGTTGTTGTGGCGAAATTTTTTCGATGTGTTATACTTGTTCGCCTTACACGGTGGTGCTTGAATATTTGCAATGAGCTGCGAGAATGAGAACATCACGTCTCGTTTGTGAAATCTTTCTCTGTATGCCAGATCGTTTCATGCAGTCGGGCAACCCTCGTCTATCGATAGAACAAACCAGACTGGTAGTGAATATGTCTTTATTTAGATCGTGCGTAATGTTGTCTTTTTCAAACACAGTTTTTTTCAGCACTTATTGTAAAATAATAGGAAATACAATGCCTGTACAGTATAGAGAAGTTAATGAATACTTGAGCCATAATGGTTTGACATTACTATGTAGGGCCAGTGAAATTTCAATGAGCCCTAGCCAAATCATCCTGAGGTTGGGTCATTGAATATCGAACAAATAATCGATCCTTGTCAATGTCAAGGACAACCAACGCGCATCAGTTAATCGTACGCCATGGACTGGCCCATGCGGCAATGGTCTTACTTTCGCTTGTATGTACTTTAACTAATATATTCCTGTAATAACGTTCTCTGTGTTGTACATTCTTCACAGCATCTATAGTACCTTGATACGCCAACAAGGTACTCCACGTAAGGTGCTGACCACGAGGTGTGACTTCGACGTTAGCTTGTTCGTCACACCATTTCCGTCTAACTCAAGTAGGCCTTCGATCATTAGACACAGATCATCTAGGCTGGTTATTTACAACTAAGATGTTTGCGGCCATCGTTTGACTAATCAACCTAAGTTGTTACAAGTTAACCTTCGATATTTTCAGGCAACAACGTCAAAAGGATGACGCTAGAGACCTAATTTTAATAAGGATGAGCGTGATTACAGTACTTATGCGATAAGAATAAGAACCATGGGGATACAAAGACGTGATGTCACAGTAAATAAATATGTAGACCACACAAAAAGGGAGCTTCCCCTTGCATTTTAAGCAACATACGACTTCGCTTTCAGAAGGTAAATTTGAATCGATCAGCAGTTAAATATTTAGACTTCTTTTGAAAGATGGCTATACGGCTTAACCTGAAAGGCTTTTAAAATCATCTGTATACTCAGACGATTTGGTTTGAAAGGAGCTCAAGTTGATAATCTTTGCTCTGTGGAGGTTCTAGCGATCCATCATTTTAAATATGGAATGAGCAAAACAGTTACGTGCGTGCAACCACTCTTCTGTGGTCTTAGCACTTAATTTTTATGGACAGTTGTGTGATCGTTTCACACGACTGTAATGATTTTGCTCTTCTTATTTTTAGCTTTAGTTGTTAGTTATTATCACCTTCACATTGTTAATCTATTCTCCACCCTTCCCATACTTGCTAAACGGATTATTATGCTCCTCATGTTTGATTTTTTCCTAACATCTTTTCAATTTTTGGATAATTAGCAACTTTTTTTCGCATGATATGATATCTTTCAATAAACGATTTTGTTTGTACATTAACTTTAAACCTGTCTGTATAGCTTGGGGGAATGATATTGTCGAAAAGAATAATGTAATTACAGAGTTTTTTTGATTCCTTTTTAATGACAACATGGGTCACTTTCTTCAAACGAAAAACAATAGAGGCGATGTACCGACTCACAGATTACCTATTAGTGTTTCAAACCACCTAGGACCACGTAGGATTTTAGCACGTCGGAATATGATAATACTGGTGTTCTAGTATCCTTTATTGGAATAGTTGCAGAACGATAAATTATTATTAAGTAATGGATGGTAAGTTGAGAAGATATATTTCTGTTGTGAGCATGGGTGTCGTAGTGTATAGCATCCAGCCCAAACATGGTCCTTTGGAATGCTTGACCGAGCCCCATTAGTCGTTTTTTGCTCAATATAAATTGAGTGATACCTGAAAAATGAAGTGCTGAAAGGCATACGGACAAATTCGTGTTATCCAAGTTGACTAATAATTGTAGTTCTCGAAATCTTATCAGGATGAAGTGGATGGTGGTGGAATGCTTGCAATTTCGGAAAATCTCTAACACTTCGTATGTTAGGCGTATGTGCCTAAATCTCTCATCTTTCTAGATCAAACCTTGGTAAGCGCAGAACTCTTAAGGTCGGAACGTCTGGAGAGTGCAAAAACAGGTGATACTTTAGTTGTAATCCCGTATGGAGCACTTTCCTGAAGTAGGATGTGATTCATCAAATAAGCATACAGAGAATCACACACGGGTACGTATATGCGATACAAAGAAGTCGATTGTCTTGAAAGCTCTGATGAGTAAAGCTACCAACGATCATCTGTTATCACACCTATTTACCTTTGTTTTCACATAGTTTTAGCTGCCTTGACTAGATTTCCCTGACAATAGCAAACGTAGGCCTATCCCTAGATCCGTTTCAAAACATTAACTATGATGTTTACTGCATATGTTACTGAGCTACGTGTTTGATAAGTATATTAACTAATTACGGCGAACCAAGAAGTTGGCCGTTTGTAGAGATACTTTGCCTCTATGCCGTCTGTGTTCCTATACTCTCGCTTAATCTGTCTGTTATTTTTGCGAGTCTGTCTAAATAAACATTTCGTTATCATGTGCTAACGTTTGAGGGGTTTTTCGCGAAATTACCTGAACGATGACCGATAAAGTATGTAATTTTCAACGTGTCTATTTACGAAAACGCCATCTATCTATTCAATTTTTACCTAATTCTACATTAGCTGAAGGCTGATCAGATTGCCTGATGGTGAGACGAAAAAAGTAACCTTAACGACCTTCGTCTTTATAATATGTGATGGAAAGTCTGCATCGAGTTTAAGTATGATATCGCTCACTTGTCCTATCATATCACCCGGTAGCGCGAAGTGTGTCTAATTGAATTTTATTGCTTAACTGGTAATTTTAAGGGCTTCAAAGTGTCCCCACGTCTAGAGAAAAATAATACAGAGTTGCTTGCCTTAAAGGCTGACACAGGTATAGATGATTATCCAACGTTTTAGCAAAGGTAGAAATAGAAGATTCTTGAAGTATTACGTCAAAATAAATGCATAAATTGCAGTAGTCGTTGTGGTGGGAATGAGTGATCAACATGTGAAAGATAAAAATGAGCACAGGATTAGGATTGCTAATGTGAGCTGAAGCACAAAAATATGGTATAATAGTCAAAATGGTAATGTTATTCTTCATGAGATCAGTTTCGCCTATACTGAATGTTACAGTACGATGCAGAGATGTAGTCCCCGGTTATTTATAATACTAGGTGTTTGTCTTTTTCATAGGTTCATCACTTGTGTAATGTATGTGGGATGTATCTATGACTAAATTATGGTAATTCTAGACCCGAAAGTATCTTTTAAGTAAACGATAACTATGATCGCCATAGCATATTGTTTGATCAGGAATTATATTTTTAATTCGAATCAAGCATACTGGAAAGCCAAAAATTTAATAAATGGAACATAATCTCAAAAGTTCATGATGCATTCAAACAACGAGAGCGTACAGTTAATAAAATTTCAAATGTGTTAAGAAATACACTAAATGAATTTTCTACATAATTTCAGCCTACTCATAGTAATAAATTTATAGAGATAGGAAATAATTGCATTGAATCAGGTGTTCTTAAGAGGGGTTTCGTTATACTTTGTTTTAGTGCATGTCACTCGTTACGAATTTGTGCTTGTTTTGACAATGGAAGAGTCAGCCAGGTTAGATCTTTTCCCGTTTCTGTATCAATCGGATTACTGGAATTAACTCAATTACCGCATAAACTTTGCACGCACCTCAATAAAATGCATTTAGAATCAGCTGTCTCGATGTCAGGTCTGCCGACGATTCGTTGGATAAAACTAAGCTGGGATCTGTCAAACGATCCCATATGATCCTGAAGCTCGTTTTGCGTCATTGGTTTGAAATCAAGGCTTTTCAGCTCCGGGCAGGTCGTCTGTAACAGTCAACTCGGCTGAGTCACTAGACGTTTGCTTATCGTCTCAGTTTCTTGAACAATACCACCGAGATACTCATTGTGAAATGGCAATAAACACGTAAGCTTATGAGAGGGTTTCAAGAAAATTACGTTTCTCCTACTCCTGACCAGGGTATTTCGGCAAACCTAGTAACAAAACCCTGTTAATTCTGAGACTCGGTAATTTGTTTATGGGCACAATAAAGGTAATTTGGGGTAATGTCACCATCCTAATCTTTCAGTTTCGGTGGCTTGGACATGTGTCGCGAATGTCACTACATCAACTTCCACACCATAGGTTATTTTCTGACTTCGGAAAGAGGTAGTAAGAACGGAGTAATAATCAGTTTACGCGTTGACCTCTTGGTTTCGAGGAAAGCATAAAATTGACATCCTTTCGTTCCTCACTACTCGCTAGCTGAAATCAGGGTTGGTGCGATTCAGTGACTTAAAATGTCATTAGACAGTGAAAGCCAATGGGGGTCTTGGGTTAGTTCACCTTAACATAAAATATAGGGCAACTCCTATGACCATTGGAAGGCTCTTGGTTCTTAATTGTACTTCCTGCTCCATGCTGTTCTCGCGTATTTATTTCATACATTTCTCTGTCCGAATGTACTCCTTTTTTATGCCAACCCTAGAATTGTATGGCACATCCCATCTTTGATGCTTAGTTGTAACAGATTTGTGTATAAACAAAGAAGGTCAGTGGCATTTGCATAATCAGATATTGTGACTACAAGTGAGATTTAAGCTATTTATGTAATAAGGTTTGTCTCTTTAAGATAAAAGGCATTGTTACGGCTCCCATTTCCGTAGAAATACTTGGGGAGAACCTGTAGCAATTCGTTTAAGATAAGTTCTGTGCATATGTAATTTATCTAAAAACTTGCTGGACTGAAGTGCTATGTTATGTAATCAAAATTTTCATAGTAAGTGACCTTACTGTTATGGTTTTTATTTATATGGATAAGTGTTACCGACCCTGTAATTTTTCTCTTCAGATTACCAATGCTTCCAGTAAAGGATCACCGCGATGAGAAGCATCGGAAACGTCGTTCCCATCGAGAAGAATCAGAATATCACTATGGTTCTAGTTATTATTATCAAGAATCCAGCAACCACTCGGGACATGTAGATAAATACGATGATAATTACTACCGAAATAGGTATCCAAAGTCATACGACCAACAAGAAGACCACATTAGTCGTCGCAAAAAGTCTAAACACCACAGTCCCAGCTGTGATACACATCATGAATCTAAACGATCTCATCATGAAAAAAAATCTCACAAGACTAGGAAACATCCCGAAGATAATCATAAATCTATCTCAGGCAATGAGTAACTCACAAAATTTCTTTATTTTTGTACAGAAACAAATCTTTAGTACTAGTTGACAATGAGGAAGATGAGGAAGAGATTATCAGACGAAGACGTATTGAAAGACAAAAGTTGTTAGAAGTTAGTATCTAATAAATCTAACTTTCTTGTGTATTTTTTATTCAAGAAGTTAGAGATCGGAAATCAAGGAGAAGCCCCAATCACTAAACTCGACAGCGATCCCAATCCTCAAGTTATTCAGGCAGACAGTTTGACGGATATGGTCACGTTTGATGATACTGAGGACTTCGATTTTGAGAGGTTTGTCCAGGCTAAGTTAGAATGTATCAAAATGGCTCCAACTAGTACCTCAGGTGGGTAAGATCGATACTAAAATTCATTACATCGAAAGTAAATTACTACTAGTTGACGCGTTTGCACTATTTCCGGGTTAAGTTCGCAAAATTTCTTTATGCAGTTAGCAGACTTAGTATGATTGGAGTTACCTATATATCTATAGTATGCCTTTCGATGGTGTTCCATTCTTACTAAAAGTATAATTGCATGTGTCATTGTGTTTACTAAGTTAGAGACAGATTCAGTTGTCCTAAATTTGGATTTAGAGGTTAAAATAAGTGTTGATATTACCTTCAGTCAATTTCCGTATTAAAATTAACCTCATTAACTCATATCCATTTCAAGTATGTAGACTTCAAGCTATTTAGTAATTTTATATGACTGCCAAATTGCTCAAAGTACGTTTGGTTTGTTTCGCTTAACTTGATTTTCCATTATATCTTTCCAGACCAACCGAGCTCACCAAGTGGTCGTCTATCTGGTGTTCAAGCTCCAGCCGCAATGGCGCTTCAAGATAAAAGAAGAAATGACCCAAATATCTCTGGACATAACAATTCCAAACCCTCTACATTTGATATGTTTGCTGAGGAATTCGAAGTCGAGCTGCATCATGCTCCGGGGACAATGGCATTGGGGGCTATGGCCTCTGAAAATCATGCCCTCTCCGACAATTGGGATGATGCTGAAGGTTATTACCGTAAGTTTTTAAATTTATAGTTTTTTTGCTATTCATTTCCTTGGTTTATGTTCATACAAAGCAGAAGAGCAGTGGACATTTTTAGGACTCAAAACAATCTCACTTAAATTCCTTAGAACTTTACGTTAAATTTTAGTTGCATTTCTGAATGTTAATAAGAACTGCATCATGATTAGCTAATCCTTATCTCAATATAGATATGTTTACACCTTTAGCATGATATAATCTCCGAATTCGGGGCTATTTTCATTAATAATTGGAATAAGTGTTTCTAGGTGACAGAACATATATACATTTCATATATTTTGATGAGTATTATACAAATAATTTTCATTGTCCAGGTGTTCGCATTGGTGAAGTTTTGGACAAGCGTTATGCTGTTTACGGATATACTGGTCACGGAGTGTTTTCTAACGTTGTTAGGGCGAGGGACAGTGCTCGGGGCAATTTAGAGGTGGCAATCAAGATAATAAGAAACAACGATGTAATGTAAGTTAGAGCTTTTACTTTACCCAATGGTTTTCATGTAATATACAATAAGTAATCTGAATTCATCATACTAGTATTTATTGTATAACTAGTAATATAGTGTAGTTGCTGAGGTCCTTTGGCAGTACGCTGATAATCGTGTTGTTTCACTTTATTTGCTTAAATCTGCTCCTATTTTTAGGCACAAATCAGGTCTAAGGGAACTAGAAGTTCTTAAAAAACTCAACGATGCTGACCCACAAGATCGTTTTCATTGTCTGCGACTTTATCGTCACTTTTTCCATAAAAATCATCTATGCATGGTGTTCGAGTTGATGAGTCTAAATCTTCGAGAGGTTCTGAAAAAGTACGGACGTAATATTGGGCTGCATATTGCTGCTATACGCTCATACACTCAGCAGCTTCTGTTGGCTTTGAAGCTGATGCGCAAGTGTGGTATTTTGCATGCGGACATCAAGCCTGATAACATACTTGTAAATGAAAACAAAATCTTGCTTAAGTTGTCTGATTTCGGATCAGCATCTACTATACAGGATAATGATATCACGCCTTATCTTGTTTCACGTTTTTATCGTGCTCCAGAAATAAGTAAGTTTCTTGTTATATGGTATTTTGTAACATGCTTTTTAATACTACCTTTGATTTTTTAAAATTAAATACTGACATTTTTCTACTTTCTGCATTTTTTGCGTATTCGGCGTGATATCAGCCAATGGAAATCAGTCGCCACCATGAACTTGCTATTCAATAATCGTGGTCAAGATATGGAGTATTGTGACGATACTAGTGGGGCTGTCTTCTTGCTACCTTTAGCGAGGGTAATCTTTCTTATGCGCTCCTTAGTGAATTTTACGTTTTTTAAAACATTTTATTTTCTTATTTAGTTCAAACTGATAGGGTTCCTGGTTTATATATTTTTGTCATGAATCTGCTTGACTTCTTTCATCATCTATGCACAAGGCTGTGATGGTCACGATTAGCGGGTTAATTAGCTTAGGTTTATCGCTACTGACTTGTGATATCGGCATCGTAATACTTGATGGGTTTTCCGAAGCGAATATGGTAATGTTTTGTGAATAAAAGCTCTCATTCAAGCATGATGAGTCCGTATCGTGTATCCTATCTTTAAGGAGTATGTAGTTTAAAGGATCTCGACATGTTATTACGTCTGTTTTTAGTTACAACTTTATGATTAGTGTATACGCCAAATGCCCTTAATAAGTATTTTTTAAAAGTCAAGTTTGCTAAATCTTACTGACTGTAGATGAATAGTACGTGGTTACTATATTTACGCTAGTTCTCGTCAGCTTCTCAGTCATTTATTTGCCCTCAGTATTAGTTGGTTTGTTTAGTATCCATAGTTCCCTCAGTAGTACATACGGTTAGTTAACCATGAAACTTTCTTGAAGATGTGATGGTTATTTATAGTTATTTCATACTTTAAGTTCATAGCAGTTACGGGCTCACGTACTGTACGAATAATTATTACATTCGGCTGATGATTACAAAGTTCTTTTGTTTCTCATTTCATTTAAGAAAGCATTTGTAAAGAATTTGAGTATATTTTTTAATAATAGTCTTAATAATATATGGGGTTCGCTATACTACTGTTCTCATCACTTAACTAATTGAGCGTCTTTGGCTGGTAATATCGTTCTATGTAAAATTGTTGGTTTGTTTCTTTGTCCAATATGTTTATAAATTAGTATAACAACAATTCATTATCCAACTATTGTGTGCAATAATAACAATCATTTCACCAAGTCATCTGAAATACTTTTTAATAGTGTTCCTTTTGATTTCTCCAAGATTTCACACATAATAACTTAATCGCCATATTTTTGAAATCGGCTAACACGACTTTAAAACAATTTAGTGATTGATGGACTCAACTTTCAACATTTTTCTTGCCGCGTAGCGTCGCCAGTTCCCACAAGGTGTAGCCCATCAGTCGGATACCTGAATCCGTACCTGGTTAGTGGCTTGCATTAATGTCGAGATATAATCGCCTGTTCATCTCACTTAATAACTATATGAGATAGACTTTTGTTACATTTTGATTCTACAGATGTAACCTGATGGATATGTTTTCATAATAACCGAGTCACCGTGGATCGTTCAAAATCATTTTCAATCAAAATCTTGGTGTTTGAAATTTGTTTTAGTTTTAGGTGTTCCTTACGACTACAATGTGGATTTGTGGTCTTGCAGCGTAACTCTATTTGAGTTACATACTGGACAAATTATGTTTCCAGGAAAGACTAACAATGAAATGTTGCGTTTAATGATGGAAGTCAAAGGACGTATACCAGGTCGCGTGATCCGCCGTGGAACGTTTCGCGCACAGCATTTTGATGAACAGTGCAATTTCCTCTATCATGAAGTGGACAAAGTAACACAAAAGGTTTGCTGACTTATGTAAAGATCTATGTTTATGAATTTAAAAGCTATAACGCGTATTTTAATCTCATACATGTATTGATGTTGTTCTTAATCCCTTCCACTATTGTTATTATTATTACTATTATTAGGTCAAATGGTTTTATCGCTTCCCATGCAAGTATATCTAAGTTCTACCACTTTCCAATTGTGTGGATCTATTAGGTTTTCAGTTAATCATGCTTTCTAAATGTGCTTTATTCCTATTAATAAATGATTAACATACAGGTTATCATTTTGGTACATTTACCTGGGATAAATGTGACTACTTGTGTTCCTGGCCGGCTAATGATTTGTGATAATATAATGTTGCACCATCTATGCAATGTCGTAACATTGAAATGCGCATAAGATTAGACATTAAGAAATTCACTCTACTAACTATGTAACATCTAGGATAAATGGCTGTGATTTCATAATTTAATATTTCCAATTGTCTCGCTTATCAGGTAAAATCTTTGGAGTTAATCAGATCAGGCAGTTAATATGACGATTGTCTCCACTCTTCTCAGTAATTTCATGCACTGAGAGATAATTTTCGGATCTTAGTTCCCACAAATACTCAATTTTGATCTACCTAAATTACCTTGCAAATTTTGCCAGGTTAGTTAATGTATATAATATCAACGCTTATTTAGATTTCCAACCTAGTAGCTAAAAAATTTTGTTGTAGTTCGCAACTCTCATATCCTGTTTTTATTTTTTACCAAAAATCGAGTACTTGTAAGACTTCAGATAAATCAATGTCAATCATTTCAGTGTTCTTCGTATCATTCCTGAATTTTAAACAATATTCAATAGTTGTGAAAGTCTAGTATATGTAAAGTATGTTTCTAAATAATTTGCCGATGTTTATTTTTTTTATCTGATCTCTTAACCACTCCCTCGGGTTGTTCGTTTTCATAAAATGTTCTGAAAACTTACATTCAGTTGACGAGTCTCGAATAGGATGAAACGCGCGTCCTGGATTCCACTGCTAGCCACCGTCCATTTTTACTGAAAATTTAGTTATTTGCCAAACTGCTGCTTAATAGAAAGTGTTCAAGATTTTCATTAACTGGAATGAGAACGCTATTCTACTTATTATTAGTCGTCTATATGTTGCTTATTTCGTTTTAGGAGAAAATGACCGTAATTCGTAATTTGCAGCCAACAAGAGACCTAATGACAGATCTTATTGGTCAGTCGAAGCTAAGTGAACCAATCTTCCGCAAAGTAACACAGTTTCGCGATCTTCTCGAAAAAACTTTAATGTTGGATCCTACTCGTCGTATTTCTTTAAATGAAGCTTTGCAACACCCATTTATTACCGAGCGTATGTCTGCCGCAACAGAATCAGCTAATCCTACACAGTGAAGTGGTTTTTGTTCACATTGCAATTACACTGTATACAATGTAAATAAAAATTTTCGTTATTCAAAACCTAAGTTTGTACTGTAAATATGCCAAAAATCCTTTAAAAGCTTATTGACTTTTGCTTTGTGGGGATTTATTTACAAATTATATTAGTGCTTCCTCAGTACATTATTTTTCGTAAGGTCACATCGAATTCATTTAAAATATGAAGTATCTTAAGGAATGTGTCCGGTCAGGATTCTGTGAAAAGTATGGTATGAATTCGTAAGTATACCGTGTTCGCGATAGATTGCTTTCTCGCACAGCTTGGACTATCAGTTCCAGGTTTTACTGGCTATGTAACTTGCAGATTCCATGTGCATATGAACTAATCGACAAGTTTATCAACAATAACGTCACCTTGGAGAAAACATCTGTGTTTTCGTTTGCATTCAGAGTTACGTACTATACGTTCTCAACCAAACGATACATTACAAGCAATAATTCTTCCATGATGGGTGTTTGACGGGGTTTAGATACTTCTGAATATGATGCACATAAAGCGATTATCGGGTGATTAAGAACCCCGTCTCATAAGATTGAGGCTCGCCTTCATACATTCATATTGCGTTCAGACTTAAGGATTTTAAAATCAAACTACACATGGAGAACCATTTCTGGTGATTATCATCGAGAATTTCCCATAAGATCTGGGTCACTCAATTCCAATAAGTTTATTGTCCCTGCTGAGGAACTGACATCACTCTTAATAGTGCTAAATGGACAATACAGAAGTGAATATAATATAGAAAGAGCTACAAAACTCACATTATGTAGTTTAGCGGCTTGTTCTTTGTCCCATTGATGGTTAACTTATGAAAAGAGGATTTCTCAGCTAGTACAAGATGGTAATGTGCTTTCTATTCTTCTGCACGACAAGTCACTTAGGGAATTCGTTCAAACGTTTGGACGGCGAAGTGAGCTGGGAGTCGATTTGAATAATGTTGGGGCAGTGGCCTCTAAATAGTACTTTTCTACCACGGTCTTGCGGCTGGAGTACCTAGATTCCTCGAGGATTGACTAAGTAACGAAACATTTGTTTCTTGTAGCTGTGTATTTATGCTTAAATTGAAGGGATTCTTAGATTGTAGTTATTTTTCTATTAATATTTTTACTACGAGGAATATTCCGTTACATTCGCTTTATCTGGTAATTTAAAGCCGATCAAATGTTAACGGATTATGCATGCCTACAATCTTACCTTCAGTTTAGATGGCATATGATTGTTTATTCAATACAGACCGATGAGACCATGAAAGTATTCAAATAAGCATGAAAATTTCTAGCTGTAACTTTGATATCAAATACGCAATAAGCGTAAGACAAAATAGCCGAACTAAAACGGTGACGATAGAAGCTGACAAAAGCTCATTTTTGGTGATCGGTGGGTGACGGTAGTCTAGGTATTTCTGTGACAGCTTTAAGCATGAAGCATTCGAGTACTACGCGTAAATTCTGTTTGTCTTGTGGTATAAGATGAGTAGTTTTGATGTGAATCAGTCCTCACAGTTTTGAAAAAAGAATGCCAAGTTATGGTTTCATAATACTATCAAAAAGCCGAGTGCCGGTAGTGCAATAACCTTTCAGTCAGTGGCTCACATGTTTCAGTCAGTCAGTCAGTAACAACGTAGAACTTCGTACGTACGTACATCAGTTCGAGTTGCCACACCACATTAGCACAGAGATGCACTTGTCGATTCAAATCCCGTAGTGATAGAGGTAATAAGAGTATAAGTAGTAATCGGGAAGATTAGGGTTTGGAGATGTTATTTAAAGAGTATAATACAGTGAAAGAAATTTGGAAAGAGGAAAAAAGGGACATGAAGAATTCAGAAGATTAGAGTTTTGGTGCTGGTTACCCCTGTCTTCAAGGTTAGTGATTGATTTAGGCATTTGTCAACATCCCTTCAACTTGCACAAAGGTGTTACTTGTTTGGTTAGCTAACGTGAGTGTTTTGAATATGCCTGGAAGGCAAGACTAATAAAATTAAAAATTAGAGAAACATCATACTACTAAAATTTGAAGACAAATGGGAGGGGGACAATTTCCTTCCGGACCATATTTACGTAGCCTGTGCGGTCATATTTATTGCCCGTTTTTACATGTATTTCACAATATAGTGGAGGGATGTTCTGCTTTTCATAATCACTAAGTAAACACTTATTTTCAGAAGGGGTTTTGAAGTGATTAACTAGAAATTGCACTAGTTGGAATCATGAGTTAATTGAAGCTAGGCCACCATGGAAACACTGGACGGCCGTTTCGTCCTAGTATGGGATCCCTCAGCAGTGCGCACCCACGATCCCGCCCCTCGCGAGATTCAAACCCAGGACCTATCGGTCGCGCGCGAGCGCCTAACCATTCGACCACTTAGCTGGCATCCAACAGTGTTAATGTCTAACTTCAACCAGTCCACGAAGTTGCGCCACCGTACTAGGACGAAACGGCCGCCCAGTGCTTCCAGGTTTTTAATTGACTCATGATTTCAACTAGTGAAACACTTGTTTCTGTCTTGTAAATACCCTTCATTTTATAATTTTTCCACCAGTGTCTAGGCCGTTGCGTAGCATTTTACTATATTCCTAAACCACTTATAACTTGATAGTCTTCGTGATCTTGATAACCTTCTTAAATTGCGGGACTCGCCTTTGTTTTATTGTAAGCTGCTATTTGTAAAAACTAGCTATAAGTACGACTACAAACTAAGTAATTGACACAGTACAAAAACAACAGATTATTAGATTACGTAGTGATTGTAACAGTCATTAGAATTTCCTCGGAACTCCATTCCCTAAAGATGGTGAAAGGCTCTAGATTATATCTTATATTTGTCGGGTTTTTTTCCATTTAGAATGCTTAAGATAAACCGAGTGTGACCTTAATTCATGGAAGCGGCTATGCCCAACGAAGACTGTTTGATAGAAAAATTAAGTTCTTTGTGAACTATGCTAATCGGTCGCCGAATATCAACCGGGTCATATTTAGTTGTGTAATTCTATAAACATTTGTCCATATTATAAGTTAATTGCATATTGCCTATTTACTCATTTAATCATATTTTTTGATGGGAACTAACCTTCGATTATTAGTCGCAATTTATCTGTTTAAACAAAAGAGATTAACGATCTTTTTAAATGCAGTGTCAATGGCTTTAAAATTGATAATATTGATTTAACACACTTCCAGTGACTGCTAACATATGTGAATTGAATTCACGACTTATATATGAATTGATGGATAAAATTATATGTCCTGTCAGTGTATTTTTACTTGTGATTACTTCCGCCAACAAATCAGAAAGAGTTTATGATTTTATCACTGAACAAGATGTGAAGGGATATTCGATACAAGAGACTATTGGATTTCGAACATTTCAACAGATGAGTAATCCACAATACAGAGAATATGAAAATGGTTTCCCACCTGGTATTTATGGGTCTTCTATTATACCTACTACTATATGGTATCATTACTGGAGTCGGGATAATTATGAAGGTATGTAGTGTGTGGACCATGGGGTTAAGCAATTTTTGGCATTGAACTATTTTTAAATTGACTCAATAGAGATTTAGAGATCGAGGATTCATTTTGATTTCTGAGAGAGTTTGAGAATTGTGACTTCATCAAAGATGGAACGCAGCAACTTCAGACTCATAAATAAGACAAAACAGGTGTCTTCTATGGCAATACCAGCCACAACTCATCTAATAATTCTGTAACAACTTCAAACTCTATAGTTGGCACTTTAGTATCTGAGCTACTGAGTGATATTCATAACCTATATCTACTCTCTGTCCGCCGTTAAATCTTTCAGCTTCGCAATGTTCAGTTACCATTCATATTCGTATTAGCTCGTCACGAAAAATAATTGTCTGGTTAATTTGTTTAAATGTCGTTAGGAATTATGTGGCTTCTATTAAATAATATTTATCATTCATCACCACTGAATTTAAATTATATCAGTTTAATATCTAAAGAAATAACACTAATATCTCATTAATTAATTTGATTAGAATAACGTTATGAACTTATTACAATCTTTACGAGTTAATATAAATATTTAACCTATCTTCACCTTGTAATCAACATCAAAGAGTGAATTCGGAACCCTGTTGATTGGGTACTGTTTTGAAAATTAAACTTACAAAATGTTTTGTAATTTGAATTTTTTTAATATCTTCGTTCCCTAAATCTATAGAAACCCTATAAATAAGGTCAAACTAGTTAGTACAATTTGAAAAGTGATAAAGCGACAATGGTATATCGCTGTTGTGATGGTGTAGCGGAACATACCTCGTTTATTCATTTCCTTGTTAATTTTATTCTTGTGTGCTTGTGTTTGTCTATACACTTATCATTCTCTACTTGCTCACACTATTTATTCCCTATATCGGATTTTATTAATGCTTGTAATGAGTGGTATTTTCAGTAGTAAGATTTTGTCTGCTCTGATATTCTCTTCTTTTATAATCTGTCTGCATTAACGAATGAATGAATTATGTTTCCGAAATGCTTCTGCTTGACTTATTGTATTCCGTTACATACCAACGTGATTAAGCCGATGAATATACCAAGTTAATCAAGAAACTATATTTCATAATTCCTCATCGACATCAAACATGGACTCAACTAGGGAAATAAATTTAATTCCCTTAGATAATTTCATATGACAACAAACGATAATAATGCCTTTCTCAATGAATCTTTAGATCTTCCCGTACTGATTGTGCATAAGTTATATGTAAATACAAAAATAATATGAAACGTAGACTAGTAAAGAAGATGAAGTAAAAGCTCACAGTATCGTCTCCATATTAATATATAAAGCGAGATCTGGAACAATGATCATTTAATGTCATCACTGAGCAACCCTTCCACTACTGACATGAGTGGCTTTAAGTTCTACAGTTACCTACTAAATTTCCTTTGTACTCATTTGAAACCCAGTTGGTTCTAAAAATTGTATTCATATAGAGCTCAGAAACACATAATCAAATAGTTGTTTGAACATGGTTTTTATCACTAGATGATACCATTGAAATAACTATCAGGGCACACTGAATGAATTTTCTTCTTTTGAGCAGAGACGAGTGGAAACCAGTGAAAACCAGAACGCTCCTTCCACTTTATTTGAGACTCGTCATCTAGATGCACCTGCATCCCAGAATTCGATGATCACTCCTGGACTCCAGCCCAGTACCGTTCTCTTCAAACGCCATCTTGTTGTCCATTTAGCTTAAAAATGGTTGTGACTTAATGGGAATATTGAGACAATCCACACGGGATTTACAAATGCCAAGAGAGACTAATCAATGGTAGTCTTGAAAATCTATGGAAAGATTAAAATAACCGATACATAAAAACTAAATTTTTCTCTTATTTCCAAATTTTATGGAAGTATGTACTCACTTCTCTCATCACACTAAAATCTAGCCCTGCATGTTTTATGGGAAATAGGTTGGCCTAACGAAAGTAATCTTGGTTTCACTGCCTTAAGTTTTTAAAATGTTACTCTGAAAAGTGGGTTTTCGGCTAAATATGAATCATCATTCTCAGGACTCAAATTAAACGAAGAAACTTTAGAAAATTCATTGGAATGTTGCATCAACAACTACATTTTGGTAATTGCTTACGTGATTCTGAATAGATTTAGAAATAAGATAAACATCTTCATATTTTTAGCTGAAAAGAGCAGATTCACCAAGAATCAAGCAAGAAAAATCGTGCATCATCTATCTGAATTTAATTATATTAAAAGCTGGACATCTTGATCTATGGGATTCAGTAAAATTCACTGAAGAAAGATGGATCTTAAAACAGAACTAGCTGATACAAAGGTGCAATAAGCCCATGTGTCTTCGTACGTTGAAGTTGTGTGAATAATATATTCGTTTATGAGCAATTGTATCAAGGGAAATTTCGCATAAATCTTATCTTAAAAACAGCAAACTCCATGACCTAATTTTTGGTGAAGATAAAAGTCGCCTAGACAAGTATTAATAACTTCTGTAACTCTATTATAACTTGAGTTGTATCGAGACTGGCCTAATATTTTAGGCTCATTCTGATTGAGGTGTAATCACACTACCATTGTTTATCCATGAATTAAATACTTTACAAAAGTTAATGTTACATCTAATCTGACTAATCTGACATCATTATAAACGAAGCAAATTTTTCTGTATTAAGAATTTAAAGAATTTAAGGAAAGATACTCAATGAAATAGAAACAATCCACAATAAGAAAAATCACTGAGACATATGCTATCATCAAACTTAGTATAATGCATACCACTATCAAGACCTTAATATTCACAATCACAAAAAATATTTAACTATCTCAGTCTTCTATTTGATTTTAATTAATTCCAACTTATTTTCACCAGACTATTCAATTGTAAGTTAAATAAGTTACTTCAATCAAGTTTTTATTTTTCTGTATATTTGGACATTTTATTTTAATTCAGATATGTTTCCGCATAATGGAAATATGTACTTAGCTGATGTGAATTGGCCTCACATAGTCACATTATGTGATGAAACCAAACATCCAAGATGTTCATGGGCTTATTTTTTAGCATTGATGCAACCTACTTCTCATAATCCACACTTGCTAAAACAAATATTCGGTGAAGAGTTTGAGAGATTATCAAATAAACACTTCATTACACCAATTATACGTGGTGGATGTTATCGTTTAAGGACAATAGATCAAATGAGTTTAATATACATATATACCATATGTCATCTTTATGGTGAGGTAAAGGAAGCTATTCCTGACTTAGAAGTGAGTTTTCGTAATTTTCCCTTTTTTCTGTAGTTCTGTTATTCTCTGAACTGGTGTTTTCATGGATAAAACTCTCGTCGTTAGTCAAGTATTGTAATAATACCAGATTATTCAAACTTTCAAATTGTGGAATTCCATTAGAATTCCTTTTAACTAAACAGACCAAGAATCGCAGTTCACTATGTTCATCTCTTTTGAAAGTGAATTTGATATGGACTGAGAAAGTGTTTATCAGTTCAGAGAAATTTCTAAGGGGATTCTTTTTTAATGACAGATGATTCATCTACATGTCTGAGCTAAATGCGTGGTTTGATGGTTTCATATGATGTTAAATCGCCCTACGCTTAATAAAAAAGGCCTGATTATTCACCAAACTTGGCTTGTTTATCCAAACATCTACACTTCATTCTGTTTTGTTTTCCACACAACACACATAAACTCAACTCAACTCAACTACACCATTTTCCATATCCAGTACTTTACATGCAAATGTACACGGCGATGTCTCGCACAGAATCATCTTGACCAATAAACAACATGACGTTGACATGATCGGACCTATTTTGATTATGAGTGTACTAAAAATATTCTGTTTTGCTTCCTCTGTACTATTTAAACTTAAATAAATTTGATTTGGGTGTTTATTTATTTATCCTAAGTCACGGAATGTCAAAAATTCCGATTTCTGCTCTTTGATATATCAGAAATATGTATCGTTAATTGATGATTAAATTTAAGATCACCTTATATTGATGATAATAATAGTCCTTCTTACCTTGAAACATGTTTAGATTTGAAAATGAAGAAAATTTAGCTGCGCTAATTTTTTATTAAGAGCAATGCTTGTCAGAATGAGACCATTCCAATGGCAGAATAAAATCCTTATCTGAAAAATAAGAATTTCTGGAAGGCTTTATTGAACCCAACCGCTAACATGTGAAAACAAATACTAATAAAATATTTAAAATACACAATAATTAAAACAGATAATAATCTTACTTATAGCTTCATGAGAACAATTTTCAAATTTCCTGTATTTCAAATTACCACAGGTATGTCCAAATCCATGTAAGCGAAGACCATGTCATTATATTCAAAATGCAGTTGGTGGTTCTTGTAAACGTCGTGGCTATCATAAAGATGATTATGAATGTTTATGTGAATCAGTATGTTTAGAAAAGTATTTTATTATACATGGTCTTTAGTTTGATATGTAATAATATATATGACTGTTGTCAAATGTAACAAATAATCCAACTACGTTCAAACTCCATGCATCGTTTAAACCTTCAGTCTTTGAAGTTTGCGAGATGGTTCAAACCATAAAGCAGGGAGGCTTCAAAAACTAAATTATCTCAACATTATTAGCACACCAAAAATTCAGACAGTCACTGGTCTCACTTCCATGATTCTGAGTTTTCGAGAGGTTACTTATTCATAAACAACGCGTTTTCTTGGGCCCTCGATAGCTTATCAGCATTAATCAGCTTGCCAAGATTGCTTACTCCTTTGCTAAGATGTTCAACAAAGCTGACGCAAGTATTCGATCTCACCTATATTCTTACCAAAAACATTTTGGTAGAGAAAGAAAGGGGTATTTGGGTTAAGACATAGTGCTATGAAATAAAGAATAGTTGTTTAGGATTAGTAATTGTTAGCCCACACACAATGGATTCCCAACACTTAACACCGTGAATTGTACCTGAGCTTGATAATCTATTGGGCAATGAAGATCAGACAGGAAAATCCTCGTTTGGGTCTGAAATATCCCCAGGCTTTCTAGATTCATTATTCTCAAGATATGTTCAGGTGTCGCATGAATATATGCTACAGAATTCTGGGGTCAATCTTAATTAGTTAGCCATTGGAGACATGGTGATTAGTTTACTAAGTTATTCCTTTTTCTGAACGCACAAACTGTTTTGGGTTTTTTTCAAATAAATTTTGAAAGCTATTTACACTTGTTTTTATCAATATGAATTATTGTCTATAGTAGGTAGTTAGTTTCAGTTAAACATTATATTCTAAACTTATATCAATGAATTGAATGATGATACATATTTCGTGGATTTTGTTTTTAGTTATTCAGAGCAAGATCTCTTAGTCTTAAATTTACCATTTAAGATTATTATATTAACTTATCAGGGTAGCGTGTTGATTGATGTCAGAATAATATTTGCATTCTAATTAATCTGATAAAGTAAAGCAGTTCACTGAAAATAAGGTCAGATTTTATTTAAGTTATTAAATCATTAACTAATAGCTTTCATTATCTATATCAACACTGGTAGCCTAAAGACACAGCGTTTAACCACCTATTTCCAGAAACATCAGCTCAATAACTTTCACAAATAAACTAAGAAAGTTATTGTAGTGAAATTTTGGGGTGTGGTAACATTTCTGATTTACCCTAAACGGTAACTCAGAACCTAAGGTGGTGAAAATTAGAAATTAAGTAGTTTACGTCGCGTTTGAAAATACCATCTCAAAAATCGGGAAATCTATCTAGTCATTGTGTATTTTATTTGTCTGATATATGTGTTATTTGAATTTATTTGTCTGTGTAATGTGTTAAGTATCGTAATTAGGTAATAGATTCTTTATGGTTGTGAAGTTCTTTCTGTCTGCTTGCGTATATCAACGTTTAGAGGGCTTCAGGTGACTCTGTTTGTGAATTCAGTTTAAATGGATATCAAAAAGCTTTATAACAGACTATTAACTTATTATTGCGTGAAGTATAGCATTCAATTACACAAGAAAAGACAGAATATATGACTGCAGGATGCGAGGTAATTCGTTAGGTGATAAAGTTGACGATATAAAGGAAATACAATTACTAGTAAGATGGCATTAGACTTTTATCAACTGCTGATGAAGGCGTTATTGTCTAACAAATGAAACTATTTAACACATTGTTGATTTAAGTAGTATGTAATTAGTGGACACATGCGGAGACAGAAATTACAGAGCACCCCAATAAAATCTGAGAACTATATATTAAATCGTTAATTTGCAAAATGTCCACCAATTGTCTCAAAATACCTCATACTTCATTGTTCTTACATTTTCACACAAATTGCATCCTATTCCCGCTCCTGCTTTCTTGATCTTCCCTCATCTTCTGCTGCCAGACAATACATTCTTGACTCGCATAATATACTACTTATATCGATATAAGTAGCACGCACCGCATGTACATTTTCCTCAGTGATCTCTTCTATGAATAATCTTTCTGTTCAATTATATCTTCTCAACTTTTAACACTGAAAAATTTTGGAATTTTTTAAAGAAAAGTAATAAAAACTGTTAGTTAAACAGAATTTATTTTCTATATTTTTTTACTGTTGATTCCTAATGCATCTGTGTGAAAATTTTGTACAATTCAAAGGCACGTTTCATCTTAAACCAATATAATTTGCATAACCATTAAGAACCCTTAATAATTAGCATACAATACCTTACACAGGATTTAACTAATATCTCCCGGGTCTTACAATAACCACAGTGCCCTTTGATAACTGAGTTGAAATTTAATTTTTAGTTCTTTTAATCTATGCCAGGTTTCAGCTTGTTTAGCTATTTTCACTATTTATTTTTCTTTAATTTAAGGGATACAAATGGGAAAAGGACCTATTATTGTGTACCATAATTGATACATGCAAAGTGTTTTGTAATCATGAGACAACTGAATCTTGTTTTCTTAATCAAACAACAGGTAAAACAGAAAGAATTTTGAAGAAATCTCACTTTATTTTGATCACTGTTAATAAATTTTTATGATTAAAAGGATTATATGTAGCAGTGTTTATGGATTTTTAGTCAATTTGGGGTCATAATTTGTTGTGAAATATGTAACCATAATCAGTATCTTTTTGATTGAACAATCACAAACAATATGAATATAATCTAAACTTTATTAACCTAAGGACAAGACAAATTCATTCTACACATTTCATATAAGTGTATAGTTATCTAATAGTTTCATAATGGTCACTAATATTATAATTGTTCTAAACTTAAACAAGTGAGGCAGAGTTAAAACTTTCATTTCACTGATTAAAAGTTTACATATACAACTATAGTAATTTATAAAGAAAATTCAATTATAAAATGTCTAATGACCAAATATTTTCTAAACTACTTTATCTTTCAAGTGGGAAATAAAGTACTTAAACTATTTAATCTGCTCTAATATAAATACACGAACAAGGATTTGAAGAACTCAATAAAATGATCAAATAATCTTTTGTTTTTATAAATGTGTGAAGCATCAATAATTCAAATGAAGTAATAATTTTATGAAATTATTTACTAAAATCCTATTTGAAATGTTACTTTCCCATATAATCCATCTTCATTTTTATTACTTTTTATAACTTAACAATTATTGAAAGAAGCTACAAATTGAAACAGAAGTATTTATTAAGAGCATTCATTCAGTCATTCCATTTACAGCATGTTAAAGAATAGAAAATTTCATCATTCACTAAGTATTACTTAGTGAATCGATTTGTTGATTTCTGTTACATGGTTATGCGACATAGATGTTATAAATGAACAATGTATGGTTATTGGAAGTACATGTAAAGCATGAAATGAGAGTTGTAAAGGGACAAATGACCGGTGTTAACATTAAACGTGGGATTTTCGGAGAGAAGATGAGGAAAAGCTTCATACCATAAGAACAAAACTTAAGTTCTGTGGTATATATATATATATATATATATATATATATATATATATATATATATATATATATATATATATATATATATATATATACATCTTACAGAATAGTATCGTTTATTAATTTAGCTGGCTTTTGTGTAGATTACTGCATAAGCTGAAAATTTTCCTCACTAACTAATTTCATCTTGTAAACCCATGATTACTAGAAAATATCAAAAAACTTTCTTTTTAGTCTTAAATTACTCCACAGTTTTCATTCATGACCCTACACAAGAATAAATCTGGGGTGTATAAGTATTGACTGAACACTAGTAAGTACATCAAAACATTGATAAAATACTTGTCAAACAATTTTTGGTGATCAATGTTTCTACAACTGACGTTAGTCTTGATTAAATCCATCTTCAAAGTAATATTCATTTATGGAATTATTCTATGAACAGAATCGATTACCAACAGTCATATCAAAGTGACATGATCATTGACAGTAAATTGCGTTCAAACCACATCTCGTGTCATATATAATAAGTTGTTAGCATAGGCTTGCGGAGGTTGTTGAGTTTTTATCGAGATCCTGAGCCGATCAATGTTAGACCATCATTGAAATCCTGAAAGCACTGGACGGCCGTGTAGTTCCATTAAGGGGCTCCTCCACAGTGCGCATCCACGATCCCTTATGTAGGACTTGAACCCAAGACCTTCGGTCTCATGCAAACGCTTAACTTCTAGATCATTAGGATAAAATGGCTTTAAAATGTTTCCCGGCTTTTAATGGTGGTCTAAAATTTATCGGTCCATGATCTTAATAACTATAATAAGTGACCTTAATAGCAAGTAAATCAATAATGTTTTAACTATTATCGATTGAATTAGGTAGAATATAAGTCATGCATCTGGCCATCATCTGTATTTATGTAATACATTAGTTATCAGTATGGGGTTTCGGAGGTTGTTTAATTTCATTGAGATCTGGAAACAATCTAAGCTTTCAGTGACCTTAGATCAGTTCATTAACATTATTTGCTGTTGGCGGCATAGAATGGAGAAAGTTTTAGAGTAACTGGATCAAGAAAAAGGAACTGTTGTAGACTGCTATACTAAGCAGTTCAAGCCTATAGAATTCATTTATTCATGTGATCAAAGAAACCAAAGATAATACACATTATTTGCTATGTCACAAAATTAGTTGCATTCGTCACAGGTCAATTAACTCCATAGTATTCTAGTCTTCCTAAAGTTCTTTTACTTGGCATTGTTTAGTTCTGTAACGTAGTGGAATAATACATGACTGTTTGACCAGCATTCCACAACTTACAATTGACACTTTGATATATATATATATATATATATATATATATATATATATATATATATATATATATAGTTTATTTCAATTTATAATTAGGTGTAGCTACATGTATTTGTAAAACTGGTTACACCGGATATGATTGTAATCAACCATTCGACGCTTGCATATTTGATACAACTTTGAAAATGAATCCGTTAGACGCTAGTCCATATATACCATCAGGATATGAAGCATGTGGAGTTCTGTTAAATCCAACTAATAAATGCAATTCAATGAATGATATGTTAACTTACAATTGTACTTGCAGTATAGGATATACAAGAGATTTGTCTTTACCATATGATAACTGTTTGAAACAAAAAGATGGATGTGATACACGCTTATGTTTGCATGGTGAATGTATAAGTTCAAAAGTAAGGTTTATCATTTATTTGTTCATTGAGTTTATTGAAATTTCATCTACAATTCCATTTATTACAAGTTGAACATATGATTACATTTAGAAATCAGTGACTGAAAGCCACTGGTAAGTAAACTCAAATTTGGCTGCAACTACAATCGTCTATTTAGTCTTGAATATAATGAAATTTTTTGTTTCAGTATGCGGTAGCTGGAGGCAGTCGATGAGAAGCCCATGGTATAATTTTAGTGTTAGCTGACATTCGCCAACAACTTACGCTGCCAGTGAATCCGTGTCACTACGATGTACTAAAAAATACGATATTGATTGCTACCCCGTAATGAATCTGTGCGAGTATCTCGTTTCTATTGGAGGGTCAGTAGAAGTTCAGATGGTGATAACATAATGCTGACAATTAGTGAAGCTTATTCAAATCTGACGAGCACCATCGGTTCCATCAAGATTACAGATACCCAGTGCTAAGTAGTGTCAATGTAAGTATAAGGCTTGGCGTCAATAGCTTATATTCACTTAGTATCGACAATATTGCACTAAACGTAGAGTCAGTTAAACTAGTTGCCTTTCTCCGAACTGGTCGATAGAATTTTTCAACATTGAGTATTAATTATGCATTAAGTTGGCTGTCACTCAGTGACCCATCAGTGCAAAATTTTTCTTCCTTAATTCCCTACCTATTTAATAATGTATCTACAATTCTGTTAACTTTTTTGTTTCTGTACTGAGATGAGATGTGATAACTTGAACAAATACTGTCATGTATGTTTTCCTCACAAATCACTCAGTTTATTTTCTAAATGAACATATGATCGGTAAAATCTCTTTACGCTTGTATATTCTTCCATACTAACTGGCTACTGATGTCATTCAAAAGTTTTCTGTTTGTAACCTGATCAAACGACCTAGATCGCGGTATAGTTTAGTCACCCATATTGCTCATATTAGCAGTCAGAGACCTCATATGCGTAGTCTGGCAACTCACAGTCTTCTTTCAAGCTATCCTGACTGTCGTTAGGATGAACTAAAGGTTTTTCATGATATAGGTGTCGTAGCCAACTCAGTCGATGAAATTTTCGAAGCCTTACTAATCAATTTTACATATTTTACCTATACATTATGTTTAACTTCAAAACTACTTACTTGGGGCTCCCACCAATATGTGAGCAGTACTTTAAAGGGATCCATGAACGAAAGCTAGTCTTAAAACAGTACAAAGGAAACTGTTACACAATGTACTAGACTCATGTTAGGTAGAAAGATTTCTAGCTTGCACCACAAGAAATGTAAACGTAACAACTAAACGGAATGTTTGTATTTACACAGTGATCTTATCAGTTATCAATCCATCATGGTCGAGGCTTCCAAGCCAAGTGAATTTTTCAGTGCATATGATTACTCCACTCCCCAATGATTGGATTAGGTAATGATTCATATAAGTACTTGAAAGGTGAGAAATGAACTTATTTCGTCATTTCTAAGATTGAAGATTTTCAGCGTCTACTAAATAGAACTACATCATCTATGTAATTTAGAGCTTCAGACATGAGATAAATCTTTGGTGAATCAAATGAAGAAAGCAATGTCTCTAGAAGCATCCATATAACAGAACTAAGTAGAAATTTGTGAATTCGAATAGCTTCAACGGACATCACTTAATGCAGTCAATTTAAATGATAATTCTACATAGGAAACAAACTGCTAGTGTTTGAGCAAATTTTTTTGTAGACGAATATATTGTATTGGACACCTTTAAATGACAGACTTCTATAAATGAACAACAAAAGTTCTTATTTTACGGTTTGCTTCCATCAGTTACTTTTACTGAGTTAAAGTTGTCTTCCTAAAGATATGGAACATCCTAATTCAATACCTCATTTATCAATGAAATCATTTAAGATAAAACTAACTTCAAAAACCGTAATTTGAGATGAGATTTAATTTTCATATCATTTCTTATATTTATTAGAAAAAGGTAATTATTTAAATATGTACCAATTCTTCCAATGATTCTGCAATACTAATAATCACTATTAGGATGTTGCTTTTTCAAACTATGACCACATAACACAATCTGATGTATCTCAATACTAGTATCACGATTCTGCCAGTGTAAGAAAAAATATTCGCTGAATCATTTCAAAAGAATCCACAAGTTAATTTATTATTTTAGTTTTTCATCCTCTAAAACAAGACTGTCACAAAATCAATAACAGAAATAAATGATTTCTACAGATGATAATCGAAATAAACACAAACTAAAAAATGGTCCCTCTATATTGATTAAGTTAAAGAGTGATTTCACCTGACTCACTAGTAGAAACTGTAATCAGCATCAATTAACACAGCTAATCACTCGCTATAAGTATTTTGTAGTTTTCACTTTTGAAGATTTTCATCGACATCAGGAATGTACCAATGATAAAATCAAATACGGAGATCAACAAACGGATCATTTTACTACATATAAAGGGCAAATAAAAAACCACAGTAACATTACTAAGGCTGCTTAGAATAGGCATAGCCCATAAATCAGCAAAATCATCTCAATCAATCTGGTAGGAATCAAAGGATAAAAGAATGATGAAAGAAGAAAAGCCAAACATCATCTATAAAATGAACCTTTTCAACTTAAAGAAACATTACATCGAACGAAGTGGTTACACTCTTCATTTTCATCTGAATGAACACAATCTATTTGGCAAGCGCCGTGGTGTGTCTCCATTATTTCAGTGGTCGTTGGCAATTATGCATAAACGTTTGACTGGGAAAATGCTGAGAATTTGGATGGAGGGAATAGAAAGAAAATTAAAGAATGTTTGTAAAATTGTCACTCAGGTCAATCAGTAATCAATAAGCACTCCTAAATCAGTGAGATTCACCGATTAATTAGAAACATCCTGGGGGAATATGAAAACAAGAATCAGGTGAAATGTTGGAGACTTTCGAAATAAGTATACGGACAGTTTCAGGGACAATGACACCAAATCAAAACCACATCCATAACATGTGTGGAGATTCGGGCATCTAGCTTCTATCCGAGGCTTCATAATCAAATCATTCAGCTCAGAGAATGGAACACCACAAAGATCATGATTTCTTGGATTATTAATAATTGTATTTGCTTAAAATTTGATTAGTATACAACTGATCCAATTTGTTTACCTTTTTCAGCTGGCTATAAGTATATTCGAAAGAATGAGCAGTTGGCTTTAACTTAACTACCTCTTAATCAAAATACACGGCCCAGACAATTTAAGAAGCTAATTAAAGCTAATAGTGGGACGACTCTTACTGTGACCATTTTCTAACTAAAATTGCAAGAAATGTTTTATACATTTCCAAAGCATTTTAAACTAAATATAAATGTGTACATAATAAGTTAAATCTAATAATCAATCCAAAATTAATAAAGATATTGACCGCGTTTTACAAAAACGCAGATAACAATAATTAAAATACTTTGAAATCAGTAGCGACTAGATTTTAGTAATCTTATCTCATAATCTGTGGTAATGAAATTCTATGAAACGTACAACATTACATCTGAAAATATTTGGTGAAGAATCCTTCTAGGAATATTTTCAACTACTCGAGTCGTTTTTAAGTAGTTCCATCCGTTTTGCCGAAAAAGTTAACTTGATTCGGTAATGCTTTGAATTTTAATTCATATTCAAACAGCCAACGTTGTTCATAGTATTAAATACATCTGGTAATCACGGTTACTAGTTTAAACGCAGTATATAGTAATCAACAAACACTCTTATATCGGTTCATTATTGGCACAAGATCACTTTATACTGATTACAAGCTTAACTAACTAGTTTTATGAGTTAATATTCAGGATGATATTGATTACTGCAATTGCTTCAGATTTGTGTTTCCACTTTTACTGCAAGATGGATCATTCCCAAGATAGATTATTTAATCCTAAATGGATCATATGCCGTTGTAGAATATATGACTTATGGTTTAAATGAAAACAACCAATGCTTTTTCATGAAAGAAATTGAAAATATGACTATCACAGTCTACTGTAATTTTGTGTTGCTTAGTTGGTGCCTTTTGGGAGAAAAACCTAACTTAGTGCAATAACTAATGACAGAGTATTGTGTGTTAAGAAACCGTAATCATTGTTATTCAAACGAAAACCTTTTGCTTATGATACCCCATGGTTCATTGTTCGATCAAAAATCAGTTAACTAATTATAAAATTGAAACGGTATTTCTAGAGAATCTAATAAGGTATTTGTTATAACTTGTCGTCTGAATGCTTAATGTCTTGGCTCTTTTAATGCTACTTTTTGTATCTGGTCGTCTCTGATTGTTATTTAGGAAACGCTTATCACATATACTCGGAACGAGGGACCTCTGCAATTCCCACGACGCGAAAGTAAGAACACAAAGACTGGTATAAGTGATGGTTTATTAGCTCCAAAAACACGACGACGACGATGATCAAAACAGTCTAAAATACACTAGTTTATATATTGATTTTACACGCATTTTGATTAATAATTAGAATGTAATTCACATATATGAAAAAAATACTTAGAGTTATAACAAATCACTCCCCCCTTTCAAAAATAAGACTTCTTCGGGTCTACTTGCAACCTTATAACTGGTTTCCTGAGGCGTTCGGACTTTCTTGGTCTCCAGAGTTTATGAGTGTCTGTTGGGACTCCTGTCATTGGAGTGTCTGTAATTATATCTAGTGGAAGCTCCACTTGATTATCTTCTCTATCTAGAGTCCTTTTCTCTCTGTGTATTTGAATAATATGTCTAAACCACATTCCGAAAGTCCAACGCACTTTGTATAAAACATTCCACATTCTCTTCTCAATGACTTCCGGTTCCCAACGATTTTTTCCAATGTATGATTTTGTTGTATTTGGTCGTCGCTGATTGCTGTACTGATTGCTGATCACTTACACTTGGAACGAGGGATCCCTGCAATTCCCACGATGCGAAATAAGAACACAAAACTAGTATAAGTGATGGTTTATTAGCCCCAAAACACGACGACGAACGATGATCAAAATAGTCTAAAATATAGTGGTTTATATATTGACTTTACACTGAGTTCTGATTAATAATTAGAATGTAATTCACATATAACAATTCACATACTGAGCATAGTTCATGTCAATGGAATACAAGAATATCGTATATTATTACATAATAAAATATCATACGAGAAAAGAAAAACAATTACTACATTGAGTAATCATTACATTGAATGAAAACGAAAGTAATCTTGAACAAAACTCATAATGAGTAAATCAATCGAAAATTGATTTTTTTTCCTCGCATCATATCATATCTCATATATAAAACATGGATATGAGGCTATCGGTTTTGGGAACAGATTATAATCAAAGGGATTTTATTTTGGGAATTATCTTGTGAGACACTTCTGGAGTTCTAGTGAGAAGTCGTTACCAGTGGAGTTCAACCAGGTCTGTTGTGAGATAGGAACTCACTGAAGACAATGGTGTACGGTAGCGCAACTTCGTGGATTGGTTGAAGTTAGACATTAACACCGCTGGATGCCGGCTCAGTGGTCTAATGGTTAAGTGCTCGCGCGCGAAGCCTGTAGGTCCTGGGTTCGAGCCCCGGGTGGTGCGGGGTCGTGGATGCGCACTGCTGAGGAGTCCCGTACTAGGGCGAAACGGCCGTCCAGTGCTTCCAGGTTTTCAATGGTGGTCTAGCTTCAACTGACTCATGAGTTCAATCTGTGAAAATTATCTTGTGTATTTACCGAACAAATAAAATGCACCATTAATGTCCCGATAATATGATTAGTCTCATTTGAATAGATTTAAAATGTCCAACCACGTTTACTGTAAAATTAACGCTGATATTTGAGAGGAATTTTTAAAAACGAACACTGATAAGAATATGGACGATATTCTATCTCATTCTTGAGCATGTTTGAATTGATTCTCAATACTAGTTCATTAAAACAAAACAGTGTTTATAGCTACTTTAGTTATTCAGAGGAGGGACCGAAGTGACTATTTATCTTAAATTCTACGTAAACTGTATGATAGGTCGATTGATTTGAAAATTCCTTACATGAATCCTGGTCAAATTATATGCACAATAAGGTGATAGAATTGGTTCTTCCCTAAATCTTTGTGGAATAGATTTTAGAGTAAATAACTGCTTCCTTAAAGCTTAATATGAGTCGCGAAAACAAAATTTTCAGTTGCACGCAAAATATCCAACTAGTATACTCTGATTATGTGTTACTTACCAAATAGCATATACCTGATAAAGATTATAAATAAAGGTCACAGAAATATGTGTTTCCTTTCAATATGCAGACATTGTCTGTGACCCAGGTGGGTTATTATTCAACATTTTGCCTCTAGTAATTTAGACAATATTTCACATTTTTATCAATAAATTTGTAAAAAGTATTCACGTTCATTAAATTTCTGACTTTGTTTACCAATAAACGAACTCTCAGATTCCCATTTTACATAAATAGTTAAACCATATTTTATTAAATCTTATTCGTGGTATGTGATTTATTAGTAAACAGATAAGGATTTATAATAAATTCGTTGATACTGATTCCTTGAAGCTTAGTTGCAGTTTTACATGAAACTACAAGTATAAAACTAGTTGGCCCAATAGGGCTGTGTTCAAAAGGAAACAAATATAAAGTTCAGGGATGAAGTATATGTCCCGAGTAAGTCAATTACTTAGTTTATTTTGCGAATTATATACACAAATAAAATTACTTGTTAACTCCTATTTCGATTCATCCGGTTTTATTTATTGACTAAACATTTAAAACTATGTACAATTACAATTATTATTGTGGGTTTCGTTTAATTAGTGGTTGCTAAATAAAGCAGTCTTCATCAACATTATGTTTACTTCTTTGCATCGACATAATAGTTTCGTTCCGTTTCAACAAGTAGATGGTAGCCATTATTCTGCAGTCATAGTAAATAGTCGTACTGGTAGCAATAACCGAGATATAATTCAACTAATACTGTGGTGAACGAGAACACAAGTGGGGACAATCGAATGTAACTGATTACAAAATTATAGAACCTCTTAGTAAAATCTGAGAACCATACAGTGAATACTTCATTTGCAAAATGTCAATCAGTCGTCTCAGACTTCATTGTCCTTTCGTTTCCACACCAATCATTCTTTGTTCTCGTTCTCTTTTCTATGATCTTAACCCTCTGCCTTCAGGCCTTTCACTTTCGGTCGATGGTACATGCTACTTATATCTGTCGACATCAGTAGCACACACTACAGTACCACAAGGATATTATTTTTGTTTCGAGTCATTACAAAATATATCACATTAAAACCAACCAACTGAACATATCGTTTCTTCCTTTTTGGGTAGCTCATAATTTCATCGGTTGAAGACAAGTTTATTTGGACAATAGAATTGTTAAACTTTTCCAGCTGGCAAAAGAAGTTTAATTTATCATTATAAAATAAAATTGTCTGAAGTTACATATCTTTTATTGTGTTCAGATCATAATTTGATTATTTAATTAAGTAATGAATTAATATTTTTTGAAGGATCTTACTAACAGTGTCTGTGATTGTGAGGAAGGATATAGAGGTGAAAAATGTGATATACCTAGAAGTATTTGGTCACATTGGTCAGAGTGGACATTTTGTGAACAGGATTCCGGATCTACTGGACAGAGTACAAGGATACGTTTATGTTTATATGAAAATGAAGAGGATTGTGTGGGTGAATTGGAACAGGTAGATCACTTGACTTCTTAAAATACATTCTTTCGTATATAACTATTCTTTGTCGAGCTACTAAAACATAACGATAAGTCAGTTTTACATGTAATATGTAGAAAACGCCTACCTATGCAATTAATGGTAACTAACACAAAACTTATTTCTGGTGTTTCTTGACAATTATCTATATATGTTTACATTTCACTTCACCTTAGGTACGATTATGTGAACCAAATATAACTTTTACACAAAATGCATCTATTTCAGAAATAACATGGAATGATTTTACACAATGGAGTGAAAACGCAATGTTATACACTTTGGTTTATGTGGGATTCGTAGCTATATTACTGAAATTCCTAAATTTGTATAAGCACCATTGTCCAGATTTAAACAAGACGTTATGATATATCTCAAGTGTATTTTTTACTGTATTAATCAAAATGTCAAATCTATTAATCATAAAAATACAGTAAATCAATGGGTTACAGGTTAAAAGTGCTCAAATAAATAAAAGATTTAATCCATTCTAACCATCAGCTTATTCGCAGAGACATAATTATTAACTAAAATGTATCACTGAAATTTCGGTTCACTTGAATTTTTTTTATAGATAAGCAGAATACTATTGTACAAGTTTATAAGTAAGAATACTTAGTTATTACAGCATTTTTTCAACAAGTCAGATGTACGCTTTTAATGTAAATAGTGGTTCAGTATAAAAGACAAATAAATGAGTGGTTTTTCTTCTTTCCTTACTCTTGTCTTTAAATAAATTATGTTAATTTATAACTTTTGTTATTACAGTGAAGATTATACTCCGTTTAGGCTTCATTTTACCAAGAATATTAATTGACCTTGCAAGAACAAAAGTCAAAATGACCTTGAAAGACACGAGTGATGACAGAATGGGAATCTGGAGTCCGGTAGTTTATAACCACTTCCTCTGTTGTGATTTGTAATCATCACAATCAGACAAAGTTCAGGGATATTTTCTGAATCAATAAAAAGAAGATTTATACTCATCATAGCTACATCATGCATTACACTAATAAGTAGATAATCATTTTCTGATTTTCAAAACTTAAATAACGAACTAATCTTAGCTAAACTACCACTAAAAACATGAGAGCACTAGACCGTTGGTTCTTTGTAGTATGGAACACTTCAGCAGAGGTAATCCCGCATCCAGGTATTGAACCCCGTACATTTGGTTTCGCGCACGAACGCTTAACCATAAATCCCCCTATACAACTAATAACAACCATCTGCTCACTGGTGACTACCTTGAAGATCCAACTTATGGATTTCTAGTGACCAGTGAAGTTCAAACTGTGACGATTGTGAGACAGTTATCCATCACAGGCTGTGGACGAGGGTTGCGCAATATCATGAAGTGATTGAAGTAGGACATCAACACTTTTGGATGCGGGCTCACTTTGTGATTTCAACTGAAAATTCGACAATTTCCACAAAACCACAAATTAGTAGTTTGTTGATTTGTCTATGACATAAAATGAGATTAACTAGGTTCAGTTAAAAATTATGTAGTAAAATAGATATACTGATTCTGACGGTTCATGAATTCTTAAGTTTAGTTTTTGGACGAATAAGTATTTTAATTTTATTTCGTGAAGGGTTTGTAGGTTGGATACAAAAATAATTAAGATAATTGTCTAAATATTTTCATAAAGCGTAAACAGATGAGACAAATTTTCACCTCTAATGGTGAAATAGGACGCAAGCATTAAGGCGAAAATGATTTTGTATTTAGTATTAAGAACTGATGAAGCGCATTCAGAATTGGAAAGTGGAGAGCGCAGCGATCATTGTTATAGGTTATTTCTGTCGAAAAACACATCACGATTTCATTTATTTACAACCACAATCCAATAATTAAAACGAATAAAAATCAGGTTTATTTGAGAATAGTAAGAGTATTCAGCATTTTGTTCTTTCCTGATTATTGGATGTACCCTTGTAATCGTAAAATGTAAAGTTTGACTTGAAATGATCAAATATATAAACCACAGTTATACCGTGTAGAAATAATATCGCATATGGATCAAAAAGCTTCAAAAGTGAAAGGATATAGATTTTCGGTAGATATTAACAAGTAATATTCGCTTTCTTCAGTTGGGTAACATAGTTTAAGTATTTGGAAAACTTACATTTGTAATCACTAGCAGACGAAACTAGACTGTTTACGGTTGTATCAATTATTTCTTAAATACTTAATTAAATTTCTCTAGATAAAATATATTCACTAATTCTATATTCAAGTTGGTGAACATTCTTAATCATTCGGTTTAGGATTACGTTTTAAACGTTGTCATGGAAGTAGTCAGTAAACGTTATCTTTCATGTAAAAAACCCATTTCCAATAGTATATTCAACTTTGGTTTATTTTATCTAGATTTCCCTAACACATTTCTGTTTTTCATAAGTCATTGTTAAAATTATTCTGAAAATAAATAAGCTATAATTGATCATAGTTGAACTTCATTCATCTGATTTAGAATCCAAATTTATCATAACTCTTGATGTGTCTAGTAAATAGACCATTATTAATGAGTTGGTTGATTGTGGAGATAAAATCAAAATGAATAAACTTCAGCTTCCGAAAAACTAGAAACGAAGAAAATTCAGACATCTATATTGTTCATATTCGAGACTGCTTAGTAGTGCACTCTCAGTATCCGTACGAGGAAGTTCAGCTCTCGAATGGAGTGTATTCCTGTCAGATAAATCGATCAATACCCTGTTGCCCATATTTTTAACATCACTCAGATCGCGATATACTGTAACAACCATTCCATATCGCTGGTAATACCTAGTCGGTGATGTGGTTAAATTTCATCAGCTAAGACTTCTTATCACACCATTCGGTATTAATTTCAAAGTTAACCAGTAATAAGGACACTATTATTATCTGATGAGTTTGTTGTAAAATCGTCTTCCAAATAAGTTCCATTCAAAGACGAAACAATTGGTTTTTGATGGTGTACCACCAAAAGGTAGCTCGTGCTGAAAACTAGCTCATAATTATTATTACATGGATAAATAAATAGTACATTCATTCATTTTGTTTGTCCACTACTCAATAATACTGCTAGAATACTGACTTAAAAATAAGTAAACAGTAATAGTATGAAAATTAAACCTTTGAAATGGTTAAAAGCTATTGATTGTAAGATCAAACTTAAACTGAGTAAATGTTAAGGATTATAAAATCGATCCATAGGTATGTAAACATTCAAAGAATTATTGGATAACTCTTCAAGCTGGTTTGTCAAATGAGCAATTTCGCTAATTCAATTAACCTGTTATCTGTTCTTTTTTACATTGATATTCTATCCCTCTCCAAAAATTTGTATATTTCTTCTTATATTACAAATATATATATATATATATATATATATATATATATATATATCTTCTTGATGTAATCTGTGTTATTGCTCATGGTTGAATGACAAGATGCAGCTAGGATACGTCCACATCAAATATTCCATCCCTGATACAAAATAGTGCGAAAACATCTCTAATATTCAGTTTAGATACATAATCATGACTAACACAATAGTCATTAGTCTCAAGCTGGTGACTCATATCTATTCAATCTTTGAATATCCATTATATGAGTAATAGATTCAATGAAAATGTTCTGTTCATATTAGACCAGCATAATTCCAATCACTGTATAAACGTGATTACATTATCCAGCATACAACAGTTTGATTTCAGTATTGCATTCCATAGATTTTTGCAACCAATTTGTTGAATGGAAAGGAAAGTTTTGTTGATTAGGTGTTCTTTTATTAAATCAAAAGAATATTAATGACCATATTTCATTAAACAATATTGAATGGAATGATCTAATCAATGAGAACAATATTTGTTGATGAATGAATAGAATTGCTTCATTCATTTGTTAATTCGATTCTTTTCAGTGAAATATATACATACTTTTCTTTATTTGTTTGCTACAATTTAAATAAAATAACATATACATTCATTTGTTGTTAAAGATTAATTAAATGAATTTGACCGATAGAATACTTAGATGAAGCACAAACAATGTTTGGTGGTGTGGTTACTGCTCATTCTAATTTTTTTCACTTAATTGTTGATGCATGCTTTTATGCATATTTACTTGAAAAAGTGAGCGAATGAAATTTCGATATATATATTTTAATAAATATTTGCTAAATGTACTGTTTTAAGCTGCTCATTAAGCAGTTATTTCTGTCCCACTTGCACTGAGTGTATAAGGTAACAAAAAGGATAACGTTTAGATGTCTTGATGATGTGCTGATGACGCGTAAAATGAATTTAATGTTGGTAAACTATCGGGTGATGTGAAAGATTTAACCGCTAGTACTAAATATATGGTAGCAAATGAAAAATTTGGCCACTGTCAAGTTTGTCGGAGCGTTGACCGTTGCTATTATTCGTAGGATGCTTTTATAAGTGATTTTCCATGAATTAAATAATTTTACAGAATAGTTCTGATAATATTTAAGCACAATATATTGCTGGATACGATTTGCAGTGGTGACAAAAGATCATAGATCTTATCAGAATAATTCAGTCATCAAACTCATCTGTTTCGATTAAGTGTTTTAAAACGTGCTTCGGAGGTTTGGTAGAATAAACTAGCTAAGTCAAACTGATAGGAGAGAATAATGATGGTCTGGAAACCCAATGAAACAAACATTAAGAGAGGTTGAAAGGTATTGCAGGTACCCTAAATGGTTTCAACCCCTATTTATAATGTTGTATGGATTGAAAAGTCAAGATTGTAAAAGGACACCCTAACATGAGCAGTTGAAATATTATCAAAATCACTCAATCAATATAAAGAATACACTTGTATACCTGATCAGAAAAATCAAACACTTCCATATGTACCATTAACACTGATTACCTTGCCTTCAAATTTTACCGAACATTTCAGGAATTTTGATTGAGGCGTCATCCATATGAAGTGAGATCTACAGCTTTAGCGATCAATGTTAATTTAATAGCTGACTTTTGTTCATCAATTGTGTTCTCTACTTAGTTTATAAAGAATACCGAATCATTAAAAAAATCATAGCCAGAAACTAGGTCTAACTAGTTTTTCTATGATACAAATAAAAAAGAATACTGGTGATGTCAAATATGTCATTTCAAAGAAAAATATAAACAGTTGAGCATTCTGTTACTAATATGAATTAACAAAACAAATGGAAAAAATTCATAATTTAATTATGTACATACACAATAATAAACTAATTACTAAAATTTATGTATTCAAATAAATAGTTTATTGAGGTTTCCATATTTTAAAGATGATTTAAATCAAATATAATAATCAACTGAAGAAGTATGAATGGCATAGGGCTTTGAATAGCAGTTTTCTTCCAATTTATAACTCTAATGGTGCCAAACAGTTATGAATTAAAATCAGTGTTTGGCAACAATTGTATGTGCAACTTATTTTCAAAATTCGATTGGACGATTTCGACTAGTAAGTGAGAATTGTATTTATACAAAAAAATCACAT